TATATATATATATATATATATAGAGAGAGAGAGAGAGAGAGAGAGAGAGAATATATTTTTACGTATATTTTTTTACCTGAACATTTGTATACAAATATTTCGCTTGCGGTTCAATATAAGATATCCCTATAATGACAGCAGTATTTTTTCCTTGTAATTGCGTTGGATTAATCCCTGCATCGATAATTGCTTCGTAAGCATGTTCCAATAACAATCTTGCTTCACCTGAGAGTGTGTGTGCTTGTTCAAAAGATAATCCGAAAAAATCCGCATCAAATTTTTCTGCTTTATTGACAGTACCCATACGGCGTGAAAATTCCGGATGCTCTAAAGCTAGATGTATAAGGATATTTTTTGTTTATAATGTTATATAAAATTTTAATTTATGATATACGTCATTGACCAATAAATATGCTTATAATTATATTTAGTACAGAAGGAGTGGCATATTCTATTCTCAATCAATCATACATAAATATAAAAATATAAAGTATGACTATAAATTTGAATTTTTACCTTTTTCCCATCGATCATGATCTGCTCTAACGAGATCAATTTTATTGAATAAATTTTCTCGCAATTGATTCATATTATCCGAACTAGGAAATCTGCCAGCAATACCAGAAATAACAATTTCTTCACCGGAAACATTGTTCCTTGCTATTGTTCCTTTGTCATCCATGATTTTTATATACTGGGATATTCTAAAAAAATGCTATGTATATTTATTTCATTCAAGGATGAGTTTATTTGTTTTTTAACTAACAAGAGAAGTTTCAACTGTCCGAAACCGATTTGATTCATGAAATATGTTATTAAACACAAAAATCTAAGAAACACATATTTTTTTATACTTTATTTATTATATGCTCTAACTCACAAAGAAAAATATGTCGTTTTTTTTCAAAGCGATGTTTCACCCCTTAAATGAGTTAGCACGTATAAAAAAATACGTGCCTCTTAAATTTCGTTTAACAACATATTTCAAATCAATCAATTCTGAGAATCAAATCAATTCACAGTTGTGAAACTTTCTTTGTAAGTTAAGTTAATGAGCTAAAGCTAATGATCTCTAAAATTAATTCATTTTCATTATAGCATAAATAGAAAACTCACGTTATAAAGTTGCGTTAAGATTAATTTAATTAAAATTTGAAGTTAAGAAACAGAAGTTAATTTCAAAAGCATTATTTATATTAGAATTAAATTTGTGATATTATGTTGCTTTATATGAAAAAAACATAAACAATAAAAATATCGAATAAAAATTTAACATATTATTTTTTAAATGTATTTATTTAAACTACTCGAGAAATGTATTATTTCTTGCTATATGGTAATTCTAGTATTTACATCGAGAATTTACGCCTCAGGAGTCATAAAAAATGAAAGGAATAGAGATTATCTGCAATCACTTTATTATGTACCTTTTAAAGACCGATGTGAACCTGACGCCCAACTTTATCAAAAATAAAAATTAACACCGTAGCACATTTGTACTTCATTTGTACCTGTTTGTACTGATCACATTATTTGTATCTCAAACAGTTAAACAAAAAAAATTAAGAATAAAAAATAACCAGCAACTTTAAAATTTTTAAATTTTACTTATGCCATTCGAAAGAGAATCGTTTGTATTCGTTCGTACCTCTTTTGTTTGTACTTTAAAGAGTTCAGAAATACAGCGTTTTTTTAATTTTTGCACAATCGCCATATTGGGAAATCACTCATTTTAAAAGATATCGAGATGCAACCAACGGCATCCAAAAGAAAATCGTACCCATTTGTGCTTTTCTTATTTTCGTCAAAAGGTTTGGACAGCATTTTTCAAAATTTCGGAAATGCGCCAAGAGGGGATGTCATTTCAAAAGATATCGAAATGAGACTAATTCCATTCGAAAATAAGAGAATGGCATAAATGAAATTAAAAAATCTTAAAGTTGCGCGGAAAACGAAATAATGATTGATACAAACAAGTTTATACTGCAAACGAAGTATAAACGCGCTATGATATTAATTTTTATTTTTGATAAAGTTGGGCGCCAGGTTCACTTTTAAAGTGTGCGAGCGAGGGACTTGCTTCATGTAGAAAAATCGAAGTGATGAAAAATGACAATATGATTTCCTATATATTTTAATTCGTAACTAATAATAATTTTTATTTACATTCTATTTGATTACAATATAGGATCAGCTTCTATTTTAGATATTTTAGAATTAATTCACGATTGTTCTTTAACCAATCATATCCAACTTAGAGATAGCATTAATATTTTTAATTATCTCGGTTAAATAGTTTCAAAAAAAGGTTTAATAAATAAAAATTAATAAAAAAATATTTAAGATCATCACTAATTAAGTAAAATTATTCAATATAAAAATTCTTTTAATTGGAAATGAAATACTACCTTGATCAAAAAGTTCCCGGAATTCATTCAGAAAATTCAAAATACAGTTTTATTCAAAAGTGATATTGTCTCCTTCAAAGTACTCGACTGCAACGCACTTATACCAGCGCTTGATCCAGCTCTCGAAACATTTCTGGAACTCTATTGTCAGAACCGTCTTCGATTTTACCTTCTTTCGGCTAAAACGCGTTTCCCGTAATGGTTTTTTGACTCGATCGAACAGAAAAAAATTAGTTTCCCAACATTTCCAAGGTTTTCACACCATTGAATCCATTTTTAACGCAAAATTTAATACAAATTTGTTGCAAACTCCATTTTTAAAACTGTAAAAAATCGAAAATATGTGCAGAGGTAGATGTACTCAAGACGGCGTAACTTTTACAAATGTCAAGCTATGGTGATAAAATTTGGTGGGAATCAATGATAGTGGCAACCTAACCAAAAAAACAGAACTCAAATCAGCTGATTCAGAGCATCACCTGGTTATAATTCCGGGAACTTTTTGATCAAGATAGTATGTATAAGAGGATATAGGCAAAATAATTGATAATTTTGCAACTATTAAATATTATTATGATTTTAATAATCATATTTTGTTTGTAACATATATATAAATCTTTATGTGTATATTGTATAACTGCTCTTCTGTACGATTGTAATAAATTAATATTAATTTAGTGATGTGTAAATACCAGTATGGCCAACACAGGATATTGATGTGTGATACGATCAATTTAATTCTTTATTAATCAAAAGTGATAAATATTTTGATCCTCGCTTCGGATCCTCTTCAGTACATAAAATAATAATAAGACCATGTTTTTGTTTCTTTATATACCATAAATCATTTCTGACAATAGTCTTTTATTTAAAATTTGTGTTTTGTCTAATATTTTAATGTCCACTCAAAATCATAGGATGTCTCTATTTTGTGATCGGTGACAACAGAAGACTGAGTTGTGTTCCTGTTAATATGGTTTCTGTGTTCTGACATTCGTACTTTCAAACATTTATCGGTTTGGTCCACGTATGAGGCATTATAATCTTTGCAGTCTATTCTATAGACTATATCCGAAGATAACATAGGCAATGAATGGATCATTCAAAACTTTAATGTATTTATTTAATTTGTTGATACCTTTATATGTTATACTCACATCAGGAATGTTTTTAATGAAATTTTTTATCACTCTTTGAAAATAGGAACCTAAATTTGAAAATTCAAAACTGAATCAATATAGCGGACGGAAATGCTAAAAGTCGCTCGGTTTCAGCGAAATATAGCATTAGATTTTTAGATCCTCTGATTCTGAATTCGAAATTTGAAAATTCAAAATGGCTGAGTCAATATGAAGAAGTAAATAATGACTGATTCAATATCGAACGGCGAACGGAAAATGAAAATATCAAAAATTGCCCGATGAAATATAGTCTTAGAGGTTTTCCGTCCATACAGCCTCGATTATTCAGGAAAGTTTTCAGAAATGTTTCAATCTTTTACATCTCATAAATAACAATTCCGAAAGGGTTCTGCAATATGTCATATGAAATGTTTTAATAGCCAAAATGATTATTAATAACCATCAAAACCATTTATTCGAACTGGAAATAAGTAGCGCATAATTCCTGTGTATTTGATTTTCCAAATTAGTTGTTATTAGCATTGACTGTTATTAAGTTTTTATTAATGAGGAGAGGTCTTACTGACAGCTCAGTCCCCCAGAAAAAATTTTTTTTAGCTAAACGAAATGAACGCAAAAATTTTTCTGCTGATTTTGAGAGCGCATAAATAGCGCATTATATATAACATGTAATATATAATTTATTCATGAAGATTTGATTAAATGAGATGGAGGATGAAAAGCGGCTAAACATAGGTAGTCCATTAAAGATTATAGCATAAAAATCGAAATTGTTTGGAAATTATAGTGCATAAATCGAAGGCATATATTGCATAGTAAGATAGCATAATTTTACAATTTTTAACGATTTAGGGATGAATATGATTGTTTGCTTTATGAGAGAACCTGCCTCAACAGATGCAGATAAAAAAATTAAGACTATATAAATATAAAAGGGCATAAATCCTGTATAATTTGATTTTCTAAATCAGTTGTTATTAACACGTGGTGGGAGGGGGGGAGGGGGATGAGCTGACCGACAGCCTATTCAGGCCCCCACAAAAAAATTTTTTTTTACAATATTATAGTTAAACGAAATAAGCGTAAAAATTATTTTTGCGGATATTGAGAACGCATAAATAGCATATTAATTTATAATTTATTTATGAAGATTTGATTAAGTGAGGGGGGAGGGACCTGCTAGGAAGATTTGGGGAGTACCTTAAGAGTTGTAGCGTTAAAATCGAAATTGTTTGGAAATGATAGTGCATAAATCGAAGATATATTTTGCATAGTAATAGATGGTTTAATTTTGCAATTTTAAACGACTCAAGAATGAAATCTACTTTCTCTAAGGGAAGTGCCATAAGAGTTGAAGCGCAAAATCGAAATTGCTTGGAAATGATATAGTATTTTGCATAGTTATTATAGATAGCGCATAAATCGAAGATATTTTGCATAATTAAATAGTAATTTTGCAATTTTAAACAATTTAGGGATGAATATATTATTTGCTTCAAGAACGAAATGCCTTAAGAAATGCAGCGAAAAAAATAAAATTTTGTGAATATGAAAATGTATATAAATAGCGCATAAATTCTATGTATTTGATTTTCCAAATCGGTTGTTATTACACGATGGAAGGGTCTAATTGACAACTCTCAGTCTCTCACAAAAAATTTTTTTTTAATTAAACGAAATGAGCGCATAAATTTTTTTTGCGGATGTTGAGAGCGCATAAATAGCGCATTCTGTATAATTTATTTGTGATGGTTTGATTAAGTGGAGGGGGAGATCGACTAAGCAGACGTGGGAAGTCTCTTAAGGATTGCAGCGTAAAAATCGAAAATGGAAATAGTAGCGCATAAGTAAGAGATATATTTTACATAGTTAGATAGCATAATTTTGTAATATTAATCGATTTAGGGAATATGTTTGTTTGTACCAAGTGGAAAATCTTTTAAGGGTTGCAATACAAAAATCGGAATTACTTGGAAATACTGTATAAATCGAAAATATATTTTGCATAGTTAGATAGCGCGATTTTGAAATTTTAAATAACTTAGGGATAAATATGACTGTCTGCTTCAAGAGAAAAGTCTCTTAAGGAAATGCAGTGCAAAAATTGAAATTGCTTGGAAATAGTAGCGCAA